TTCGCAGTACCGGTACAAAATAAATTTATGGTGCGGTATTTTTAATTGTCAGATATTGGGACCTGTGGAACTGCCGCCAACGCTCAACTCTTACAGTTATTTAGAGTTCCTTCAGAAACGGCTTCCAACTCTTTTGTAAGATGTACCCTTAAACCTGCGGCGAAGACTATGGCTGCAAAATGACGGGTGCCCTGCTCACTACGGGCGTGAAGTAAGAGCTCATTTAGACGAAACTTATCCTCGCCGATGGATTGGACGACACGGGCCAATCACGTGGACCGCTCGATCGCCAGACCTGAATCCATTAGATTTTTTCTACTGGGGCTGTCTTAAGGACAAAATTTATTCAGAAACAATTCAAAACGAAGAGCATTTGCGGGAGCAAATAAATGGAGCTGCTGCTGAGATAGCCCAATTGAGTTTAAGATCTCTAAAAGCGTCTTTTCCTAAAAGGTGCCGAGCTTGTATTAGAGTAGAAGGTCGCCAATTTGAGCATATTTTATCAATAAATGAATAAATTTTTCTTCAAACAACTCATGTATATCTTATTTCACGTGAACCCATCCTTCACACAAAATATTGATAGATATAGCCATTGTTATAGACTCTAGTCCGAATTCCGGTAAGTAAAATGAAATAATGTCAGAAGCAAATATTTATGTACCTTTGTACTATTTAGCATGTCATTTGACGGTAACAAACGCAAATTCAATTTAAATCTATTAAATACATTCTAGCGTGTCTCAGTCCTTTACCCACAAAAGCGGCAATAACTTTTTTTTTCTATTCAAAACAGTAAGTGTGGCACCTTTCTGAAATCTTTATTAAATGAGCAATTTTTTTTTATGTAATGTAAATTTATAGCTCAGTACATTTTTTTTCACCCGAGATAGTCAAAGTTGGGGAAGAAAATATCAAAAAGTTAAAAATCCAGAAATAGTCCTAATTTTATGATGGTTCCTTAATATATTTTAACTACATTGCATTTGAGTATGGAGAGGCAACTATCTGGAAGTATTTTACATAAAAAATTTACTAAGTATTGCCCGGTTTCTAGTTGCAGTTAAAGAAAACACATGAAAAGCCACGATTTTTTTAAATTCGAAAAAATTTAAATATTTCAAAAACGGTGACACTTTTACCTGAAAATTTTTTGTTTATCAGTGAGCTCACCCCCCCACCTACCTTCCCCTAAAGTTTGGCACGTTACTTCTGGGACACCCTGTATGTGGATGCCGTTTTAAATAGTCCAAAATTTTATATTTTCTATAGTTTTTTTTGTTCTAAAATCGATTTTCATTAAAGATGGTAGAAAACATTACGTTTTCTAAATTTACTAAAAATCGCTACTTAAGCGTGAAATTAAAGCATTTTATTTTTAGTGAACGAAGCAGTGAACATATGAAGAGATATAAGCGCAATTGTTTTAATTAGTTAAAAAGGATGCTTTAAGCAAGATCCTAATATACATATATATAAAGTAAATAACTCTTTCTCTAGTAATCTCTTTCATATCACATATTTTCATTTATTAATTTAAAAAGAAAGAAGATTTCAATGTAGTTTAAAATACACTGTTAAAAAAACTAAATTTGATTTATTTAAGGAAATTTGTATGAATTTTACTGAAAAGACTTTAAATACACTCTAAAAAAATGTTGTTTATTTGCGAATATAAAGAGAGGTAGCCAGTTTCCTCTTTTAATGAGTGCAAATTTGCACACTAAACATTGCCTGTTTACTTCTACATACCAAATTTGTCGTGAATAGCAAAATTCCACATAAATTGTTTAAAATTTAGTAAATGTGAGCCCCTAATGTTTATGTTATTAGTATAGTATGTATTTGTAGTTTGAAAATGTTTGCAGTTCTAAACATTTTATATGTGTATTTATGTGTATATTTTAAAGATCTAAAGTTCTAAATCAAATCCTGAACATCTTATACGTACATTTATACAGATTCTTGTTGAAAAATAGATACTTTTCAGTAGTAGTTTTACATGCTCTTCTTAGAGTGTACTTACTATTTATTATACTTACTTTGCAAAATACTTATGCACAAAAAATGTACTTTATAAATTGAAATTACAAATGTTTGATTTTATGAAAAATAAAAATATATATATATGTATTCCAAGCCCTTAGAATGGGTTAAATTATGTCTTTTTCGTGAAAATTTTTGGTTTCTTACAAATTATGAGATGTATACGCAACAAAAGAAAATTGGATACATTTTTGGCTTGGTCAGTGATACAATTTCTTGAGACGGCGCGGCCGTCACAATAGCCGAAGGTTTGTTACATAGTTAAACATATGTACAGGGTGAGTATTTCATTTTGACAAATTTAAAGTATTAATTCAGGTAAGTATTAATTCTGGTGAGTAGTATAAAAGTGCAAAATATATCTCTTAATATTTAAAGGTCGATTAAATTCGGACCCATGTCCTCGACTTGCCGGCGGGCCTGCGGCGACGAGACCTGAACCAGGTCCTGAAGTTGCTCCAGAGTTTCCCAAGCCTGGTTAAACAGATGACAACTGCTTGGGGAATCACAGGCGCCCGTTACATGAGAGGTAGCTAAGCAATTTATGCAGTAGCGGTGCACTCTAGCGGATTCATAGCGTTCGTCCGGCGTCATGGCCAGAAAGGCGCGGCAATAGCGCAGCGAAAGGGGGCGGCAGCACAGTCGGCATTTGCCGAATTCTTGAGGCCTGTAAATACACGTTCGAAGGACATTGTTAGTGGCATGCGGGTGATTGGTGAACTGAGACGAGAAAAAATGTGAGAAAGATAGTAGAGTGAGGGTAAGGGCATGAGCTACGCGGGTGGTAATAAGCAAAGCTTCGTTATGTTGCATGTGACGGTTCCGCTTTGGGTGCGAATGTCTACCACGCGAACATTTTGATCGGGAGCGGGATAGAGTTTCGTAATTCGGCCGAACCGCCATTCGTTGANCACGCGAACATTTTGATCGGGAGCGGGATAGAGTTTCGTAATTCGGCCGAGCCGCCATTCGTTGAGGGGAAGGAGATCGTCTTTGATGACAACTAAGTCCCCTTCGTTTAGATTGGCTTCCTGGCCTTTCCATTTGTAGCGCTTATGGAGTTCTTGCAGATACTCAGTTTTCCAGGGCTTGCTGAACTGGTGATGGAGTACCCTTAGTTTCTGCCACTTATTTATTAGGGAGAGATTTTCGGAGTTTGGCTCAGGAATGGAGAGCAGCGGAGAAAGTGACCTGGTGTCAAAGCTTGTAGGTCATCAGGATCTTGTGACATCGGGGATAGCGGTCGCGAATTCAGAACCACTTCAATACGGACAAGGAGAGTGTTGAACTCCCCATACGTGAATTTATGGGTGCCCGCAACTTTGGTGAAATGAATCTTGAAACTTTTCACTGCTGCTTCCCAGAGTCCTCTCATGTGTGGGGCGTACGGAGGAATGAATTGCAATGAGAGGCCGTAGAGGGCATATTTGTTGGCAATATCCGCTGAGACTTCCTCAAGAAAGGTGGACAATTCGCTCTTGAGACTTCGTTGTGCTCCTACAAAGGTTTTTCCATTGTCGGACATCACTTTGTGGGGTATTCCTCGGCGTCCGATGAATCGTGTGAATGCTGCCTTAAAAGCTTCTGTTGTTAAATCAGAGCAAAGTTCGAGATGTATAGCTTTTGTGGAGAAACATACGAAAACGCAGACGTATGCTTTGGACTGAGATGCTCGACGAAGAGTAGAGGTTTTTACCAGGAACGGACCAGCAAAATCAACACCAGTGGTTTGGAATGGGAGCGAGTATGTAGAGCGTGCTGGGGGTAACGCGGCCATCATTTGCGACTTCATATTTTGCTTGTAGATGGTACATGTCCTGCAGTGAAAGATGCATGTCTTGATCTTCTGCTTGAGGCGAGGGATGTAGTGTTCCTCCTGGACCATGCGGATCATCAGCTGCTTTTCGGCGTGTAGTAGTGTTGAGTGGAGGACAGCGAGAAGGAGAGAACATAGCTTTGAGTTATCTGGTATAATAATGGGGTGCCGCTCATTATAACTGAGGGCGGCGTAAGTGAGGCGTCCGTTCACGCGCAGCAGGCCTGACTTATCCAAAAATGGGTTAAGGGTGAGCAATGGGTCTTTTTCGCTTCCAAGGTTGTCATCGTTTCTCCTTAATATTTGTGTTGAGCATTCCGAATGAGAAGAAATTTCGCCTGATTTTTTTCGGTGTGCGTTAGAGTGATGGTTTGTGGGACATACAACCTTTTGGCTTTGTTTACAATCTGTAACATGAATGCTACCACTCGGAGACCTCTTGAGTAGGAGAAGCGGTGTAAGAGATCGGTGCTTACGGCTGCATGGAATGCTTCTATGTGCTTTTGTTCTGGAGGAGATGGGTGATTTGGGGTGACTTTAGGCCATAGTATGGAGGGCTTTGTTAGCCATTCGGGGACTTTCCACCAGATACAGCAGTCTACGAGGTCTTGAGGTTTGGCTCCTCGTGTGCCTAGATCTGCTGGATGACGCCACGTAGCATTGTTGACGTTTTGAAGGATCTAGGATGCTACATACGTCTTCCACATCCAGANGGCGCTGCAGACATGACGCCACGTAGCATTGTTGACGTTTTGAAGGATCTAGGATGCTACATACGTCTTCCACATCCAGAGAGGTTTTTCCAACTAAGCTAGCACGCTGGAAGAGTCAGTCCACAACGTTAGTTCATGAGAGGGCAGATCTAGTTGGGATCGGATATGTTTCACTAACTTTGTGAGTTCAGAGTTCCAGCCTTGGGAGAGAAACAGTCTGTAAGGGTGCAACTTTGCTCTTTGCTGCGAGTAGATGAGAAGTTGCAGTTTCGCCATGTTGATCCATTAGATATACACAAGCGCAAAAAGCCTTTTCAGAGGCATCAGAAAATCCATGCAGTTAGATTNCTTTGCTCTTTGCTGCGAGTAGATGAGAAGTTGCAGTTTCGCCATGTTGATCCATTAGATATACACAAGCGCAAAAAGCCTTTTCAGAGGCATCAGAAAATCCATGCAGTTAGATTGGGTATCTCAATTTCTTTGATCGCCGAGAGATTTTTCTGGAAAGAGTTCCATTTGAGAAGTGAGGTGGGTTTGATAGCTTCGTCCTAGTCTGTTCCTTCCATCCAGAGCTGCTGGAGGAGAATTTTCGTTGCTATCATTATGGGCGATAGCCATCCTGCCGGGTCGGAAATTTTCGCGACAGCAGATAAGATCTGTCGTTTTGTAGCAGTGTTTGTGTCAGGGAGCGGATCTACTGAGTACGAAAACGTGTCTGTGAGAGCGTTCCATTTAATTCCAAGGGTTTTCGTTGAGCTTGCCTTTTTGAATTGGAGAAACTCTGTGTCTAACAGATCAGACTGTGGAATATTTGCAGTGATATTTTTAAAGGGAAATCCTGCTGATTTTAGGACATCGATAATTTGAGATATCGATTCCCTGGCTGAGTACAGATCGTGCCCGCCTGAGAGAATGTCGTCAACATAAGTTTCGTTGACTAAACTTGCTGAGCTTCGTGGGGATTTTTGTTGTGTGTCTTTGGCCAATTGATGGAGTATTCTTATGGCCAAAAAGGGAGCAAAGTTAACTCCAAATGTAACTGTTTTTAGTTTAAAGTCTTCTGTCGGACTTTCGGGGGATCGGCGGAATAAGATTCGCTGGAAATCTTCCTTATGGACGTGTATCTGGCGATACATTTTTTCAATGTCGCCATTGAACACATACTTATATAACCTCCATTTGAGAATTATAAGCCTTAGGTCGTTTTGGAGTACGGGACCGGTGTGCAGTACATCATTGAGTGAGAGGCCGGAGTGAGAGAGTTTTGACGCATTAAAAACTACTCGGCCTTTAGTAGTTTTACTATCAGGCCTAATCACAGCGTGATGTGGCAGGTAAAATGAGAAATATTTACCATCACGTATGATTTCTCGTGATTTTGTGGGCTTCATGTGGTCTAAAGTTAAGTATTCTTCGAGTACCTTTGAATATGTGGTTTGGAGTTCCGTTGGGGTATTACCTAGTGCGGTTAAGTCGGGAAATGTTGACTTGAATGGGAGTTTTACTACGTAGCGGCCGTCTTCTCTCCGATAGGTAGTATTCTTGTAGAGCTCCTCGCAAAATTCATCATCGTCTGTGTGAGTGGGAGCCGATGGAACCTCCTCCTGTTCCCAAAATCTTTTGAGTAGATCTCCTAGGGAATCTGCTGAGTCTTCAACTACCTGGGTGGAAAATGTTGATATTTGTTCCGCAACAGGGCCACTTAATATCCACCCAAAGATGGAATTTCAGGCTATTAAGCTTCCGCCAACGTTGATTTTGAGACCTGGAATGGGTATTTTGGGGAGTAGGTCACTACCAACTACCATGTCTATCCTGGCGGGTGCGAAGCAGTTGGGATCAGCTAGAGGCATTGAGGCGTATTCTTGGAGATCAACGTAGGTCCCCTTGAATGATGGTAAAAAGTGCGTCAATTGGGGGAGTATTATTGTATTGAGTTGCAATTTTTAGGGTGAGACCTGGAGAACATATTGTGAGTGAGCAAATTTTGTTCGCATTCTGGACTGTCCGTCCGCCCATTCCTAATATTTCAAAGTTTGTTTTGGTTGTGGCTAGACCAAGCGGCGGCTTGGGTAAGGGTACATAGCATTTCATTGTCAATGGTCACGTGAGATGTGACGTAGTTTTTAGTGGGGTTTTTATTGTTTGGCGTTTGGGATTTTGCTGGGAAATGAAGGAGAGAGTGGTGTCGCTTTTGCCAATACACGCAAGTGAAGTTACTTTTACAATCTCTCTCTGAATGAGAGTATGCCAAACAATTTTTACAATAATTGTTTTCTTTAACGAACTTATTCCGATCATGAACGGATAGTTCTTTGAATTTTACGCAACTCATCATGGAGTGACTACAATTGCATAATTTATATGAGACTAGCTTTTTTTGTTCAGTATGGAACGATTGAGTTTTGTTCCGGAAGTTGAACGATTGAGAGGCCGTGAAAGTGGGTTGAGGCGGTTTTGGTTTATTCGGCCTGTATGTGCTAAGCCGTTCTACAACTTCGTATCGAGTTGTTAGAAATTGGTCCATTTCTGACCAGAGGGGTAACTCTTTTCTTGAGTTTAGAGATTGTTCCCATAACGCTAGGGTTTCGTCTGGGAGCTGTAAGGAGCAGAGATATATGAGCACTGGGTCCCAGCTTTCAGTGGAAACTCCGTTTGCTTTCAGAGTAGAGAGGCAATTATTAATTGTCGTTTGAATTTGTTGAATCTTTTCACCGTTTTCTGTATGTGCGGGCTGAAGGTTAAAAAGAGTTTTAATTTGATTGTCAACGACAATTCTACGATTTTCGTAACGGGATTTGAGTGCGTCCCAAGTGAGAGCAAAATTGAGATCATTAAGGGCATAACTTTAATAAGGAGGGCTGCTTTCCCGCGAGTTTTTTGCCTCACGTGGTACAACTTTTGAGCCTGAGATAATTTGGGGTGATTTATGTACATTGCTGTGAACATGGCCCTGAACGATGGCCAGTCTTCGTATCCACCATAGAAGACTTCAGTATCACAAGCAGGTACTTTCAGGTAATTGTACGAACCGGGTTGGGGTTGGGGCATCATCACAAGGGATGTGTTGTTTCTGGTGGGTTCCGAGTTTTGCTGGAACTGGCTGAGCAACTCGTTGATTCTCAGCTTCGTGTTTAACGCGTTGTCGCTGGAGTTATCGTACGAGGCATCGCAGGTTTTCCGCGTCTTCTCATCTGCATTGCTCATCTGTATTGCTTCGTTAGCTGCGTCTACCAGGGCCATGTATTTGTTGAGGAGCTCCAGATATGTTCTCAGTCCTGCCTCAGTGTGGTCCGTTTCGCTAATGCTCCACCACTTCTCGCAATATTTGTCCAGTCTCGAAATTTCATAAAGGAATTTTTTATGATTATAAGCGGCCTCATCCTCTTCGGCTTGGGATTTTGATCTTGTTCTTATGCTTTGCTGGGTGTGTAGGGCTTGAAGTTTTTCCTGCTTATCTTCCGACATAATGAGTGAGTTGAGGGGTTAATATGTGTGTATAAATCGATTCTTCGAGACTTTGAGTACGTAGAGAAAATATTTGGGTGCGTGTGTTTTATTATATATATGTGAATAATTTTTGTGCGTATATTATGTAGCACACTATATTGGGCGCTATATTTTTACTCGGCACTGTCTTTGAATCGTTGCTATATTTCTGCTCCACACTGTCCTGTCTCAGCGCATCTGAGTACAGAAACCGTTTATAATATTGGTTTATATGTGTATATATATCAGGGATTGGCATTGGTTGATCGTCAACTGTTCATACTCATTCAATACCGCTGCTTTGTATGACTGAGCAGCGGCGTTGGCTTAGTAGTATCGATACCTTAACGAAAATAGAGGATGACTGAACACGAGCGCATTGCGTGCTATCTTGCAAATACAGCCACCACAAGTGAACGATGCTTATAACTGCTCATACTGATATTGACTTCGGCAAATCTGTACTCTGAATGATCGTGCACGAAACCAGCAAACGTGGCAGTTGAACGGCTCCGAAAACATGAGAGTCATCATTTGTTGCAGAAGTCGTTTGACTTGTTGCTGAAAATCATCTGACTTGTTGCTGAAAGCCATTTGACTTGTTGCTGAAAATCATCTGACTTTTTGCTGAAAATCATCTGACTTGTTGCTGAAATGACGACGAATGTGGTAAAGGGTAATTTATCGTCTCGTATGCATGTATGTATGTATTTATAGCGCGTCTACCATTCAATTGCATTGCTCACTGCTGGCTAGTTGTGAATATGCATACGTACGTAAGTATGTATGTATGTACATATCAATGCTTCATTTCAAACAAGCAAGTGTCTTTGAATGTTTTTGAACTACAGTATCATCACTTCGGCAACACGTCAAACGCGCCTTCAGCAACAAACCAAAGGCGGCGGTTTGACTTCTGCAACAAATCAAGTTAGCTAACTGCCTTCGCCAGTCTTTCACATAAGCTGTCATGCTTTCGGCAACCGTCCAAAGCAGTATCGTGCTTTTGGCAGTCGATCAAATACGGCGGTTGCTGGTTTCGTGCACGATCATTCGGAGTACAGATTTGCCGAAGTCAATATCAGTATGAGCTGTTATAAGCATCGTTCACATGTGGTGGCTGTATTTGCAAGACAGCACGCTTTGCGGTGGTGTTCGTTCATCCTCCGTTTTTAACGTGAGTAGGCTTAAAGTCACAAAAACAGCACCCTTTGCCAATCCCTGATATATATATATATATATATATATATATATATATATTGTATATACCTTGCATACTAAGGCTGACTTCTAAAACGTCAATTGCTTTGCATACGTACAAAGTTTAATGTTCCATAACGCCCAAATACTAAATATTGACAATGTATATCGACTATATCGACTATTTGAAATATGCAATGTATATGGTTGCAATGTGTCGCAACTCTGCATATACAAACAGTTTGAATATCGCAGTATAACAGTTTCCAAACATTGTATTGACACGTTTTGGAAGTCAGCCAAATTGTGTTTGCTAGTGCAGTTAGCTCCGCTTATGTATACACGTTTGTGTGTATGTACGTATGTAATCCACTAGCTGTGCGATGCTAATGCAAATAGCGAATAAGTGGATATGCAAAGGGAGAAAAATCACTGTGGAGTTGGAACAGTATAAATATACACGTATATAAATACGTATATGGTTAATATATATATATGCCCGGGTAGGGGGAGATTTAGCCGTCGCTTTGCTTATATACCCAGTAGTAAATTGGGGAAGTGTCTTATACGTACGAGTGTACTTTTTGGAAGGTTTTTGGCGGCAGTTGAATATATATATATATATATATACGTATAGTGTTATTTTCGGATTTATGTACGAGAATATATATTTATACTTAGCGGATATTATTTTTGAAGTGAAACTTCTTTAGCGGCGGTTGGTTGGTTGGGAGTAAATTGGCAAATTCAAGGGAAATTGCACACGGAAATGGTGCAACGGAAATGATGCAACGGAAATGGTGCAACGGAAATGATGCAACGGAAATGGTGCAACGGAAATTGTTGGGGATGAAACGCTTCTTCGTATGGTCTTAATTTAACAAAAGATTGCAAATAAAATGGTGCAACGGAAATAATGCAATGGAAATGGTGCAACGGAAATTATTGGGGCTGAAACAAGTGCTTCTTTAGTGTATGGTATTAATTTAACAAAAAATTGCTAATAAAAGGTTAAAGAATAAAACTTAGAAAAATACCAATACAAGAATGAAAGTAAAGGTGAGTACGTACATAGATAAAGAAAAGGATAAAGGCAAAGGTAAAAATAAAAACAAAACCCAAGATGCGTAAAGATAAAGTTAAAAATGAAGACCAAGGTAAATTTAAACACTTTACTTATATATATAAGGGCAAAGGTGAAGGGGAATATGTAGATGAAGAAAATGATAAACATAAAAGTAAAAACAAAGAGAGAGGAAGAGGATACCGATAAAAGTAAAGACGAAGATAGGGGAAGAAAAATTAAAATAAAGATAATTGAAGAGGAAAAGATATAGAGACGATTTGTTATCGATTTTGTTATCGATATTTTTATCGATTTGTTATCGATATTTTAATTATTTTGTATTTTTTTATCGATTTTGTCATCGATATTTATCGATTTTGTTATCGATATTTATCGATTCTTTATCGATATTTATAGGTTTATTTATCGATATTTATCGATTTGGTTATCGATTTTGTTATCGATATTTATCGAATTTGTTATCGATATTTATCGATTTTTTACCGATATTTATCGATTTTGTTATCGATATTTATCGATTTTGTTATCGATATTTGTCGATTCTGTTATCGATTTTCTAATCGATTTTGTTACGAATGGTATTATCGATATTTCTGTGATTATTGAAATTTTTATCGAATTTGTCATCGATTTTGTTATCGATTTGTTATGTATCTATCGGTTTTGTTATCGATATTTTGTTGGATGTTATTATCGATTTAGTTATCGATAGAGTATAAAGATAAAAATGAATATAATGGGAAAACAGAATAACATGAATGTTAATAAAACGAACAGGGGTAGAGGTAGGGATCTAGATAGAAAAAAGAAAAAATATAACCTTAAGCAAAAGCAGATGTGTGTATGTATACATTGGTTATGACTCATATGGACTTACTTGGGCATTCCTCTTTTTACAAACCGCTGCTGAGTATTTGTATGTGGATGCTGACTATTGTTGTTGTGCTGCTGCTTACCGCCGTCTTGTGGGCTACTTGCCGTTGCTGTTGTTGGGCGGCTTTTGTGTGTCTACTTGCTATTATGGGGCTGTTTGTTGCCAAGGGCTGCTGGCGCCCTCCTTGCTGTTGTTGCTGGCGGCTTCTACGGCTAATTGCCTTTGGCTTCTTGCTGTTGTTGTTGGGGCGCTTGACGGCTACTTGCCTGCGGTATGTCGCCTATATTTGTTGTTGGGCGGCCAATTACTTTTTTTGTTTTTGTTTTTTTTTTCGCACCCACTTGTTCACTTTATTTGCACTGCAATTTGTCGTTTCTTTATGTGTGCATGTATTTTGTAGCCGTCTTATGTTTGATCAGCTTGTTTTTATATATTTTGGTTTAGTATTTAAACTTGTTGTTGTTCCACCACCAACTTCAAAATTTTCTTGGTTTTTTTTCGTAGATGAAAGTATTACTTCACGTTATGTTTTTTTTTTTCAATTTAATTAAACTTTTTTATTTGCCCGAGCCGAGTTTTATATCTTGGGTTTAAATAAAAAACTTTGTCCTCAAACTTTCGTAGATGCGCACGCAGTTAAAAAAATACGACTTAACTCGTTTCCGCTACTTCGCTCGCTACCTTTTTCGTTTTAAGTGTCGTTAACGGACTTGCGTATAAGTTTGTGGTTTTTCTTTTATGTACTTTGTACATAAATTTATTTCTATTTGAAATTGGTTCTTTTTTTTAAGGGGTTTCGGCAAAATATTCATAACTCAAATGAATAAAAGAGAGTTTTAATTTGATTTATACTATTTCACTAATCACTTTATTTATTATATGTATTTATATAACTGTATAGGTATACCGGCGGGGGAATAATTTTCACTTGCTAAAATTTCGAATCACGTCTGTTTGGGATGAGGGGTAGCGAACGATTAAACTTAAACCTATTGCTTGCCCATTGCATAGATATCAGATGTTTGTTCACAATAGCCGAAGGTTTGTTACATAGTTAGACATATGTACAGGGTGAGTATTTCATTTTGACAAATTTAAAGTATTAATTCAGGTAAGTATTAATTCAGGTAAGTAGTATAAAAGTGCAAAATATTTCTCTTAATATTTAAAGGTCCATTAAATTCGGACCCATATCCTCGACAAACAGTATATAAATTGTTTACTACTACTTCTCTAATAACTAAGAACAAATACAATTTTTTATCCACTGTCAATATTTTAATCTTGTCTTCTTTGCTTTTAGGAAATCTTGACAATTTGTACTTGGAGTTTACCATAAAAGGTGTGGATGCTAAAATTTCCTTTAACATCAATTAAGAAATTGCGACCACCTCAGTGTATCTCGGCCAGACCAAAGGGCACACATAATGTTTGCGTGTGCAAAATCCACGAAAATTTACGATTTAAATTTATTGGATTTAAACTAGAGTTTACAAGGAAAAACTTAAAATTTTCTATTAAATACAGTGCATTTTTGAAAAAGTGATTTGTTCGAACTTACTAGCGTAGTTTTGGAAATTTCCCAAAATGCCCAGGAACAGGAATAGCTTTGAAGGACTTAGAATCGAATCATCGTAGCTGCAAAATCGATAAAATAGTATTTAGCCAATGGTTAACGACGGACAGGTGTGTTATCTCTGAATTCAATTTTCGTTGTGAGTATATAACATCCGATCAATTATGTATAAAATTATTTCCAGGTGTCAGATTTTAAAGCAAATTTAGGAAATCGATATTTTTATTGTGAACTGCCCACTTTCAGCAACCACCATGTCACAGGCCCAAAAAATTTACTTTTTACCGGTAGGTGGACAAGGGACCGATCTATTCAAAAAATCGTATTACTTATGGACCGATTTGCTTAATACTGGGTACGTAGGTAGCTTTTTGCCTGGAAGTGGACCAGGGACCGATCTATTCGAAAACATCGTATTTATGGTCCGATTTGTTATAATTAGGTACTTAGGTAGCTTTTTGCATAGATTAGGGAACAGGATCATTCCGGGAAGCGGACCAAGGATCGATCTATTAGAAAAAAACGTATTTATGGTCCGATTTGCTTAAATTTGGTACGTAGGTTGCTTTTTGCCCAGATTAGCATATAGGATCCTTTTTTCGGGGAAGTGGACCAGGGACCGATCTATTCGAAAACATCATATATATTTATGGTCCGATTTGCTTAAAATTTGGTACGGAGGTAGCTTTTTGCATAGATTAGTATATAGGATGCTTTTTCCGGGAAGCGAACAAGGGACCGATCTATTCGAAAAAATCTTATTTATGGTCCGATTAGCTTGAAATTTGGCACGCTGGTAGCTTAATACCTGGATTAGGATACCTGCTTTCTGATAGGTGGATGAGATACCGAGGTATTTGAAACCAATCCCATACTCACGGAGAAAAGTAAGGGTTATTAGAAAAGGGGGCGTGGCGCCTTCCAAACAAACTGAAATTTTTACCTATCTGTAAATATAAATCGTTACCTTAATTCACAGAGGCCCCAAAAAACACTTTTTTCGAAACTGCGTTTTTCACAGATTTTGGTAGGACGTATTAAAAGTAAAAATAAAAATTTTAAAGTGTAAGTACCAAAACAACGGAGCTGCATGGCACCTGTTTTTTATACTCATTTTATAATATTTTTGCTTCTCCTGCAAAATAAAAATTGTTTGGTTAGTGCCTTTGTGAATTACGATATGTACTTCTTCGGAACGTGTGTTTGTGAGTGAACGCCTACTAAATGTCAGAAACGATTTTAATAATTCGAGATATGTATTGGTAATGGTAGGGGCAATATGTACTATTACACAAAAACAGCTGCAAGGTGGCGCTGGAGTCGAGTTACTGGTAAAAATTGTCAAGTGGAGTCACTCGAAAACACCAAGAATCAAAGTTAAATTACCACAGTAAAATCAACCACCAGAACCATTGCGGTCCTTGCTTTACGGCGACTAAACAGAACAAAGACATTTTTTGATAAATGTCCACAAATGCAATTGTAAGACGTCTAAGGTATTTCGTCTGAAATAAGTCTATGTATATTGGAGTTCTGTGGATTAATTCACCAATTTTAAAATTGAAATTCATGATTTTGTCAATTTTGAGTTGCAGATTCTATTTATTATTAATCACGATGCTTGGTAAGATAAAAATATCAACATATTTGAGTTCCTGGGTAAAAACTACCCCTATAAACCTAGTGATTTTTTTCGAAATAGCCTGAAATAACTTCCAATTATACACATTTTGAGTTCTAAGACGATAATCAAAAAATGTTGACATTCAAATACGATTCGCTAATCCGATATTAAAGATATTGCGGGTAGCCNCCCAGGAACAGGAATAGCTTTGAAGGACTTAGAATCGAATCATCGTAGCTGCAAAATCGATAAAATAGTATTTAGCCAATGGTTAACGACGGACAGGTGTGTTATCTCTGAATTCAATTTTCGTTGTGAGTATATAACATCCGATCAATTATGTATAAAATTATTTCCAGGTGTCAGATTTTAAAGCAAATTTAGGAAATCGATATTTTTATTGTGAACTGCCCACTTTCAGCAACCACCATGTCACAGGCCCAAAAAATTTACTTTTTACCGGTAGGTGGACAAGGGACCGATCTATTCAAAAAATCGTATTACTTATGGACCGATTTGCTTAATACTGGGTACGTAGGTAGCTTTTTGCCTGGAAGTGGACCAGGGACCGATCTATTCGAAAACATCGTATTTATGGTCCGATTTGTTATAATTAGGTACTTAGGTAGCTTTTTGCATAGATTAGGGAACAGGATCATTCCGGGAAGCGGACCAAGGATCGATCTATTAGAAAAAAACGTATTTATGGTCCGATTTGCTTAAATTTGGTACGTAGGTTGCTTTTTGCCCAGATTAGCATATAGGATCCTTTTTTCGGGGAAGTGGACCAGGGACCGATCTATTCGAAAACATCATATATATTTATGGTCCGATTTGCTTAAAATTTGGTACGGAGGTAGCTTTTTGCATAGATTAGTATATAGGATGCTTTTTCCGGGAAGCGAACAAGGGACCGATCTATTCGAAAAAATCTTATTTATGGTCCGATTAGCTTGAAATTTGGCACGCTGGTAGCTTAATACCTGGATTAGGATACCTGCTTTCTGATAGGTGGATGAGATACCGAGGTATTTGAAACCAATCCCATACTCACGGAGAAAAGTAAGGGTTATTAGAAAAGGGGGCGTGGCGCCTTCCAAACAAACTGAAATTTTTACCTATCTGTAAATATAAATCGTTACCTTAATTCACAGAGGCCCCAAAAAACACTTTTTTCGAAACTGCGTTTTTCACAGATTTTGGTAGGACGTATTAAAAGTAAAAATAAAAATTTTAAAGTGTAAGTACCAAAACAACGGAGCTGCATGGCACCTGTTTTTTATACTCATTTTATAATATTTTTGCTTCTCCTGCAAAATAAAAATTGTTTGGTTAGTGCCTTTGTGAATTACGATATGTACTTCTTCGGAACGTGTGTTTGTGAGTGAACGCCTACTAAATGTCAGAAACGATTTTAATAATTCGAGATATGTATTGGTAATGGTAGGGGCAATATGTACTATTACACAAAAACAGCTGCAAGGTGGCGCTGGAGTCGAGTTACTGGTAAAAATTGTCAAGTGGAGTCACTCGAAAACACCAAGAATCAAAGTTAAATTACCACAGTAAAATCAACCACCAGAACCATTGCGGTCCTTGCTTTACGGCGACTAAACAGAATAAAGACATTTTTTGATAAATGTCCACAAATGCAATTGTAAGACGTCTAAGGTATTTCGTCTGAAATAAGTCTATGTATATTGGAGTTCTGTGGATTAATTCACCAATTTTAAAATTGAAATTCATGATTTTGTCAATTTTGAGTTGCAGATTCTATTTATTATTAATCACGATGCTTGGTAAGATAAAAATATCAACATATTTGAGTTCCTGGGTAAAAACTACCCCTATAAACCTAGTGATTTTTTTCGAAATAGCCTGAAATAACTTCCAATTATACACATTTTGAGTTCTAAGACGATAATCAAAAAATGTTGACATTCAAATACGATTCGCTAATCCGATATTAAAGATATTGCGGGTAGCCTTTGGAAAAATGTCTTTGGACATGTAGAGCAACTCATTTCTCTACTAATATCATGAAAAGGAGAAAACATTTTTTTTTTAGCCGGTCTGTTATATGTGTGTATGTTATGGTGGCCAGATGCGCTGATTTAATCAGTACATGTCCTGATTTGTTCCTATTGTACTGATTTTTAAGAGCCCGAAATCAGTACGCAAAATCTACTGATTTTTTGAGTTTGTACTGATTTTGTACTTATTTTTACATTTAATAAATACTTTTGTAAATTGGTGTGATTGACATTTGCTTGAGGTTTACATGTTCAAAACAATGGTTTTTGACAACTCATACGTGTGAGCAGATTGAAACCATTATTAAAAAGGTGTCAGCTTGCAATTGTTTCTTTCCTAGGACTTCGCAAAATAACAAACTGTTTGGATTCAACCCCACCCAACTTCACGATTTGCAGGTTTTACAGGATTTACAGGAAAAGCTGGTTTCGCCATTAATAAATCTTATGAAAGGTGGTGGTGAGTTAATCATATATTAAGTACACTTAGATGATGACAATAAGAGATAATGTATTATAATTAAACATCCACTGAGAAATCGGCTGTCAGTATGTCAAACTTAAGACGACTACTGCTACGGTGCAATGTAAGTTCTAAAAATTTGGAAAAGGTGCAAACTACCCTGCAAAAAATGGGACTAATCCGGGATGACTCCGGGATCAATCGCAAAGGAGCATGCGACTAATACCACTTTTGATCTCTTTATATGGAATGAACTGATCGCTTTTGTTCGAGCATGTCCTATGAAGAGACTAATTGTTCACCTTTATACCCGAACGGGTATAAAAAGCGACTAGTCACTTTTAAAAAATAAAAATAAAAATTTGCGCCAGCCGCGATTCGAACTGGGGTGCTCAGTTTTGTTAGGCGAATACTCTCTCTGTGTGCCAACGCCGCACATGAAATTTCATTGACTAAGTGCGCACATATCATTAAATCGTTAATAGTACCCGTTAGGGATGAGTCGGGGACTAATTGATCTCCAATTATACCCGTAAGGGATGAGTCAAGACTAATTGATCTCCAATAGTACCCGTATGAGACTAGTTGCGACTAATTAATGCCCAATTGTACCCGATTGAGAGGAATCCCGGAATACTCTCTTTAGAGATTAGTCGCACAATTTTTTGCAGGGTACCGACTCTTGGATATGATATATGTAGCTTTGAATGTGAATGTTGTATTTTATAAGCACACCAACTAAATATGTTTTAAATTTGTAGCTTAAAATATGCAAACAGATTCTAACTCGAGCTCGTCTTCTACTGAAACTCAATGGGCTACAATTTTTTTTTTAAATTTCTCAAATTTTATAAATTTTCTAGAAAGCTTGAGACTTCA